GCGGAGAATCACCATACTGTCATAGTGCATGTGAGATGCAACAGCGCAAGACTGCACAAGCCGACATGGCTCCTGTTGTGATCTTCAGAGCAAATGCAAACGCACGAGGGGCAGCCGACTTATTGCCGGTTTGCCTGGATGCTCATTCGTAATGCCTGGAAGGATCGCGACCTTATCATCAGCGAGGTCTCGGATGCCGTAGGGGTTGAGCAGCCCTCTGCCTGATCTGCGGTGAAGTTTCTGCAGGCCCCAAGAACCCTAAAACTTTAAGCCAACAGAACGAGAAGCCCAGCCCAAGGTTTGCCTTGGCGGTGCAAGCTAGCTTGTTCGATGTGCTGCGCAAGGCTCGACTTGGTGATTTTTTCGGTTGTACGGATGGGTTCATCGCTGAAACCTTCTGAGAAAGACTGCTCTGCTTGACACGCAACATGCAGCCTGATCCACAGAAGCTGTCCACTGACAGGCAGGCTACGCACTCTACTCGCGAAACTGGCGCTTGAACTTCAAGCTGTTGCAGCTGCGCCTTGCCACATTTCAGTTCCTGAACATTCCTGGATTCCTGAACGATCAGGCTGCAGAAACTGCGAGGGTTCACCTCAGTTGCGATGCTCCATGGGTCCTCGTCCCAGGCATCGTGAAGCAGTACGAGAGGTTTACTGGCTGCAACCGGGGACGAACCCAAACCGCAACCGCGAGAGAAGGCCCCACAGGGTTTTGGCATCCAAGTAGGGCAGTTTTCTTGCGCTCGAGGGTCTCACCGTTCTCCTGGGCTTGTTCCGTGCACGGGGTGCTACTTCTGCTGACACAAGAGCAGACACTTGCATGCACGTAAAGCTGTAAAGCCACAAACCACAAGTCGCACCGTTGCGCGTTCATTCTAGATCCGTTTGGGATTCAAACAGGATGATAAACAGGAGCGAGGGAGATCTTGAGTCGGCAAAGTCGCGGTCGTTTTTCGCGTGCTGAGCTTGGTAGTGGGAGCTCTGCCGAACGTACACAAGTCGTTCTGTGTTGCTTAACGTGCGGCTATAACACGGGAAGTCTGGTCGGGTGAACACCGAACATCGTGAGGGGACATTCCAGACTGCTCAAGTTGAAAACTGGCATCACGGAGGAGAAGTTTTTTTTTTTATGACTCCCGTTTCGAGAAAGCGCAAGGTTCTGTGGTTCTAAGTTCTAAGGGTTGAGCGCTTGTCCACTAGCTTCTGTTTCGAACTCCACCATTCCTTGGCGTGTTTCGACAGGCCTCGGACAGACGCCCCGGCGCGGCGAACGATCTTGCATCGAGCGGCGCAGGAGCGTGCCAAGGATTTTTTAGGTCGGGTAGGTTGCCTTGAAGGCGCTCTAGATTCTAGATCTGAGAATCAGAAGGAGTGTGACTTCTTGCTTCCCTAGTCACCGGCCCTGGTCTTCGGATTTCAACCACAGAACACCCACCGGGCATGACCGGGTCCAGGAGGGCGACGTGGAGATTCTGCAGCAAGAAAGTGTCGAAGACAACGCGCCGGGGGCTCATTACTTCACGCAGGGCGCGCGCTTCTTGGAGCAAGAGCCCCCGAGGCGCTCAGAGAAGGCCACCGCAGCGTCTCAGGAGTTTCACCTCCTGATGAAGAACGGCGCAAGTTACCAGCCCACCCGGCCAGCTTTTCCCGTACTCAGCCGAAGGGAAGCTTCCTTAAGAACGACTTATGTTTGGCTGTTTGGTGATGTTTGATGCATTCCAGGGAGTGCGAGCAGAAGAAGGATGAGGTTCGAGGACACTCTTCTGACTACGCCACAAGACTCGGGACGGAAAGCGTGTGGGACAGCTCGAAGGACTCAAGGACGAAGTGACGGATCGCGAAGATGAGCTTGGCCAGAAGGCGCGAAACGTTTGTCGGTCAAGGACTCACAGACCGCGCTTGCCATTTGCCAGGCTTTGCATCTGGCGGCACGGTACTGCCGAGACCTGGAAGCCCTTCAGCTGGTCGACGCCCGGCGTTCGACTTGAGACACCGAGAATCTCCCAGCCTCAGAAAGCCAACCTGCCCTGCTTCTGATCGCAATCCTAGACCGCGTGAGGTTCAGCACTGGCCGAGCCACGCAAAGCATCGTGACAAATTTGGTCGGCTCCCGCTGCACCGTGCAGCCGAATCAGGCAGGGCAGCTGACACAACAGCCTCCAGATTTAAGCGTAGATGTTTAATGCCCCTTCACGTTGCAGGCTGTGCAGAGACCTTGGCCGCTTTGCTTCCTCTCTATGCGGATGGAGCTCTGGTCCAGGAGCTCCGAGAATAAAGCCACGGAGCTGCTTCCAGACTAGACAGCCTGAACCGCCTTGCAATTAAGCTATCGTTGCCTTCATGCCCGGTGCGTCTCAGGAGCTGGACAAAAATCAGCACAGTTGCCTGGCCACTGGGCTTGTTCGGATCCGGAGGCCTTCACGGAAGGTGCTCAGGAAATCCCAGTACATTTGAGGGACGGCGCCATAGCTGTTTGTTCTGATTCTCAGGATCTTGCGGTCCTGTCGGGCAGCACTGAAGCCGTGGACTTCTTGCTGCAAAAGAGGCCAGGTTCGTGCACTTCCTGCAACAGGATGGTCATGTCGTGACCATGCGGTGATATGCAGTGCAGGGCCATACTGGAGCACGGCAACAAGCGCACACCACTCCATCTGGCGGCGCAGTGGAACCACGTGGGTCCTTTGCAGGCCACTCACCGCATTGCTCCTTCCGGCTTCTTGTGTGTTCCTTTCGTCAGGACCTGGCCGCATTGGGCTTCCTGGAGACAGACGATTGTGACGGCACTCGCCCGCTGCACCTCGCTGCCAGGCGGGGTGGAGAGGGGCAGCATTCAGAAGCCTCGCCCCGGCGGTCTGCAGCGTGCAGCGCAGGTTCGGGCACGAAGAGGCCGTGAAAGCTCTGCTAGGAGAGGGGCTTCTTGGAGTCATGCCCTTCTTGCGTAGCTGTCGCCAGCTGCTGTGTGCCGAAGATGGTCGTCCCTGCAGGACTCGGTGCCGACGTAGCTGCCACGACCGTGTTGCTCTTCAAGACATGAGCGAGCTTCGCGCTTGCGTACACGAGGGTCATCAAGCCTCCGGTCATGAGTTGTCCCGAGGTTTGGCCGCACATCCCTGCACTGGGCGGCACTGAATGGGCATGCAAAGATGACCGAGCTGCTGCTGGACCGGCGAGATGCAAGAACTGAGATCACCGACGATGAACTTTCATCCCTCATGGCCCATGGCTGTTCATTGTTCATGCTTGCTTGTTCAGCAAGTGGGCAATGCTTGCCTTCGTCGTTTAGGGCTGCAGGTTCCTGAGTTGTGGACGTCTCATCACCGATAGCACTTACTGCATCAAGCTGCAGGAGAGCAGAAGCCCGCCTGACGAACGCGACGGGGCCGGGTGGACGGCATTCCATTGGGCAATCAGGCGGTGCTCCTTTAGAGGGGATGCACTTGTCAGTTTAGACCCGGATGGTTGAGCTTGCCTGCTCCAGACGTGGCCACCATGACTGCGCTCGTGCACTCCGCGACGGTGGTGCCGACATCCACTGCCAGGAGTGGCCAACACCAGGTCACAATGAACGTGGGCTTGGCGTGGCGTGGATTGTGGCTGTGGCAGGATCTGCGCAGCCGCCGCAATGCGTTGCACATCGCAGCGGCCGCCGATTCAAGCCCCGAACTCCTTGAGGTCACCGGCAAGAGTCGGATGCTGCTGTGGCGGTGTGATTCAGGGAATGATCGATTGAGCAAAGTTCTCTGAGATGCTAGATGCTAGGACCTAGCCGCGTGGGGCGTCGAGCTGCTCGAGACCGATGTCGCTCGGCCTCGCTCCCGAGTGCTCTTTGACTAGGGTCTGGGATCAACAGTTTTTTTCGGGTCCAGAGGTTAAGGCATCATCTTGCAGGTTGGCCAGAAAGTGCCCTTGCATCTTGCAGCGCAGTGGGGCAAGCTCCGGAACATCGGCAAGCTGCTGGAGATGAAGAGCCGCCGGGATGAAGCTACGGACTAGCTAGATGGGATCATGAGTTTGGCTTTCGTCGGCTTCAGGTGGCGAGGTTATCTGCTGTTGTTCTTACTACCTCGGGATGCCAACGTTGGCTTGTCTTTCTCTCGCGCTCGAAAACGCGCGGTCTGTCTGCCTGAAGTAAATCAATCATCCCCACCTCAGTTCCCAATGTCGCCGAACAAGTTTCCATTCAAGAGCTGACACGCGACGCAACTTGCCCACCTAGCCTCTGCGGCCTTTGCAACCCGACGAGCAGGCAAGCACAGCGCTTCATCTCATCGGATAGTGTCGAGTCGAGCCCGCAGTTGGCCAATGTCGGAGCCTGAAGCAGATCCACTAAAGGCCCTTTGAATCCGATGCAGAAGTGTCACTTGCTTTCGCAAGAGAGCAGAACTCATCATATGGATTCTCTGATTGCTGGGCTTGTCGAAGCCGAGGTGATGTGGAAGCACGCTGCAGCCACCAACGAACGGCGCTTCACCTTGCCGCGACGTGGCATCAAAACTTATGATGCAGGGGCCGTATGATCAGTGCACTGCCTGTGATCTGCGTGAAGGCAGGGCCGGGCTCGCACATGTTGATGAAAGCCGTGAGCGTAACTGGAAACACGTTTCTACTGTTGGCCTGCAATCCTGGTCTTGAGCTTTTTGTTGCACACGCAGTATGGCAGTATGGCATTTGATGCACGAACGGTGTTCGCAAAGGCTCAGCGGGGGCACGCCAGCTTATGCACGAAGCTGGTGGACGAGGGTGGGGCCGATATCCATGCGGCTGATGCGCCTGGTCTCAAAACAAGTTGTGCATCAGTCCAGACACCACGTGTGTCCATCGAAGCACAAGCCGGTCATCGTAAATCGCGGGACAGTTTCCGTGACGATCCAGGCCACCGGCTCTACACCCTTCACGCTGGCTTGCAGGTCACGGACCCAGATCTGCAGAGCCTGAGCCTGCGATGCTTCCATGCTTCGATGCTGCGAAAGGTTTGGACACTTCGACGTCGTTCTTGCCATGGTCAAGTGCCGAGTGGACCCGACCAGCGTGGAGCAGGACCTGTCACGACCAGAGCAAAATCCACGGGTCGCCTTGGCCAAGCTCCATGTGACGGCTTAGACTGGCAGAGATAAAGAGCACAGGCTCCTTACAGAAGAGCCCCCCCGCCCACCCCCCAAAGTCAAGGCTTGAACAAAGGACACCACCGGGAAGCCCCACTTGAATCCTGAGGCAGCCTCCCCATAAGCGCCAAACACCAATTTCAAGTTCGGAACCTTTTGAGAGCAAAAGCTTGAACGCAGGGCGGCATGACGGCCTTACACTGGGCGGCGCGCTTCGGCAACACAGCGGACGTGGCCTCAGCAGACAGCAGACTCAATGTGGGTGCGCAGAAATGCTCGTCTCCTCCACGAATTACTGCGACTGTAGAAAGGCCTTTTTCGTTCATCCTGGTAATTTTTGAAGCACTTCTTCATCTGTGTTTGTTTCTGCCCTTGCGCTTTCACTCGAACCACAAGCTGTCTCGTTGAAGTTGCTTTTGCTGGATGTTTTCCGCCAGAATCCTACTGATGTGTTGTCCTTCAGGCACTATCTCTGTGTGTGTTGACTCGTGTATACTCGTGTCGCGAGAAGCAGTGTTCAATGTCACTACAACTATAGTTGGTCATGCTACCTTTTTCATCATTCTTGCGCTCCCACATCCGCTCGCCAGTTCTTATCCCTCCGCATTAGTTAAGATTTCTGTCTTCCTGCTTTTGTTCTCCAAGCTCTATCCGACTATATGCTTAAGCCTGAACTAGTGTCCTTCCTTCTTGTGCTTATGTACTAAAATGTATAAACTTGGACCTGAACTAGGGATCTGTGTCATGTGGTACTTTGATGCGCGCTTCCTTGGGGTCTCTGGACAGGGGACCTGAGGTTGTTCGACACCTGGTCGGACTGCGTGCCGACGTTGCCGCCGCGACGCGCTCGAGCCCAAGCGCTGCAGATGCCCGGGCTGGAATGCGCTCTCCTGAAGATTCCTGAAGTCCGTCACCTCTCAGGGCTCTTGTCGGGAGCCGTTGCACGAAATCAATTGTTGTATTGACGGTTCACTGTCTCTCAACGGCCTGAGGATATGGACGACATCCTCTGCACTGCGCCGCCATCGAAGGGAAGAAGGCAAGAGCGGTGCTTGCATCAGCGGCTGTTGCTTCCACTTCGTGTTCAACTTCCGAAGCTCTCGTGCCGTGGTGGCATGATGATGACGATGATGATGCCAGTTGATGCTAGTCGCCCAGACGATGATGAGGACTAGTGATTCGAATCCTGGTGGTGTTGAGTGTGTCTATGAGACCGATGACAAGGACAGATGCAAAGCAAAGTGAGGAGTGGTCGCAGCAGTAGGAGCCGTTTCAAGATGTAGCTCTGGGCAGGAAACCGTCGAGGCACTGATCAAGCTCAGGAGCCGAGGATAAGGGTTGCAGTTTCACGACACCTTGGCAGGGCTGTACACAGAGGGTCTTGGCCGGCGTCGAAGGTTCGAGACGATGTTTTTCATTGGGCGAAGGTGGAGCTCCAGAAACTAGACGGGAGATAAGAGTTACACCAATCACATTTCAAGGGTTCACCCTTTGTCGTGAGAATTCGATGACAGGAGCAACGTCCACCATCCACAGAAGGAGCCGGCACCCTGTATTCATGTATTCTGTGAATGGCTTATTCAGGGACTGCCTGCTTAACATCTTGCTCCTTCCAGAGTGCAACGGGGAATCCTCGGCAGGATGGATGGTTGCCGATCCACTTGGCCAGCCGCTACAAGCACATGTATGTGAACGGATTGCATAAAGCGATGTCATGGGGAAGGAGTGGAAGCCTCCGTCTGTGCCGAGGTGATCATGGCCCTCGTCGAGCACCGAGCAGATCCGAATGCCAAGGGAGTGAATGGCAAGACGGCCGCGCAGCTCTTCGCCCAGCGGGATGGCTGCTCGGAGCGGTTATGAGACAAGCTCCCTTGAGAGCTGTGGTCACAGCATCGCATCGCAGGCCGTTTTTCAGACATCGGCCTTGACGCGCTCCAGCAAGATGAAAGTGGCCGGAATGCCCTGCACACAGCGGCTATACACGGCTCGGAGTCGCTCCCCAGTTGCAAGCGCAAGACGGTGCAACTTCCGGTGCTGCAATCTGCAAGTGTCGGAGAGTCCTCGACGGCCCGGAATTGCCTTCAGGTGGTTCGGTCGGTATCGTGCATCACAGCGAAACCCTGCTGGTGTGCAGCTCGTACTTGGCTTGGCGACTCCAGACGTGCGGAACCCAACTCTCGCCTTGTTGTGGTCTTAGTGCACATCTCAGCACACCGTCCTGTGCCCTCCCGGGCCCCACGGCCCCACGCAGGCGCAGGGGCGGACCCCTCTCCACCTCGCAGCTGCTTCTGGCCGGCACCTGGTGGCCATGGCCCAAGAATCCCAAGACTTCAAAAGTCGCCAGGTGTTGTGATGACTGACCTGCGGAGGTGCAAGAAATTCTTCGGAGGTTCCTGGACGAGAACGGCAGCTTCAACAGGTGTTGCCTGGTGGAAGCTCTTCGATAGCTAGAGCGCCCGTGGAGCGAGCTTGATTTCCTCCACCTTCGGAATGCGCCAAAAATTTTGGGCCGAAATCGATCCGGCTTGCCTGACAGGTGAATTCGTTCCTACTGGTTATTGGCACAGGTTTATCGGCTCCCGGGACTAGCGAACTGTTGCTGGCCCTCGGCTGTTGCTCTGAGGTTGGCATCGGGTAAAGTTTGGCGGCTTCTACAGCAGAGTGGATGATGAGGAATGGTGCCATTTGCCTGCTCTCTGTGTTTCGCTTGGTCTTGTGTGTTTCTGCTGCGCAGTTCTAAAAGCTTGACGCCGTAGGAGGACGACGATTCCTCTGAGCTGCTCGGCTTCAATTATCCGCCTTGCGGGCTGGTGCGGTCCGGAAGACCCTGCAGACCGGCTCAGCACGAGCCGCTAGCGGTAGCACTGCATGAAGAAGGACCGAGGAGAAGATTCGCATGATAATCATGGGCGCTTTCTTCGCAATCTCCATGACGTCTATGAACCATGCCTTTGAGCATTGTAACGTTCATGGCCCGCTGTCGTCGCCTATGCAGAAGACCACCTTCTGACTCTTTGAGGCCCCCGCCGCTGCCAGTCCTCACGCGGGATCGGAGGGGTCGGCTGCCGCTGCATGCCGCGGCACTGGGCGGCTTCCCCACGGCGCGGGTGGTTTAGAGAGGGCTCAGGGTTCAGCTTGATTTTCAGAGTCCGTTTGCTGCGGGGGAGGACAGCATGGCGGAAATAGTAGATCGTAACGTAGCAGAAGGCCGAAATGCAGGCACTGTTGCCGGAGATGCAATGTGGTTTTAGCATTTCGGGTTGCCAGTTCTACGTGTAGGGCAGCCGGTTGCCACACTGCTTTCCCTTTCTAGAGATGTTGTGTCTCCTCGAGGTTCAAAAACGGCCGCATTGCTTAAAGGGAGACGTGGATGGAATTGCAATGGCAAGTTGCGACTCAGCGAGTCCAGCTCAGCTTTTTCGTTGTTCTGGAAGGTTGTGGGCCAGCTGGTTTCCTTCATGTTGGAGAAGCTGGACTGCTCAGTCTCTCAGCCGAAGTTCCAGATTCGTTGGCCGGTCAGATTCTGGGTTAGTTTAAGCAGAGAGCTGATTGCTGGACATTCCTGGCCAGCCCTTGTGGAGGTTGCAGACATACTGCGGCCTGACGATGAGGAGTGCACACCATGCTCCTGCGGTGCTCCGTTGTGGAGCGCGTAGCCACGTAGCCCGGATCTTGGCAGGGAGCCTCTGCCCTTGACCTGGCTTGCCGCAGACGCGACGACGCAGCGGCCAGGCAGGGGATTTGCTTTGCATTGCCCTGCTATAGAAATGCCGAGCTCCGGCCACCAAGGCGCCTTTCCGAGAAGCTGGGAGTGGAGCTGCCCCTGTCGTCCAGAGATCGAACGCTGCCATCGACCGGTGATGAGGCGAGGGGTGCTCGAGCAATTGATCATCGTGACCCTTTCTAGACGGCACTGCGCAGGTGTGCCTCAAGCGTGTTCTGCAGCTTGAGCATGGGACCCTGGCTAAAGGCAGGATGCAAAACCGAAGTATGGGCCCAACTGGTACCCCTGAGCTTGACGGTGCAGGCACGCTTGGCCGGGTTGAGGCTGCATCTGACAGTGTGGTGAAGCTGCAGCTGCTCGACATCTTGGACCTGCGAAGCTCGGGATCTTTACCGTTAGGACTCGTCGGACCTTACAGCAACCATCGGACTCAGGACTTAGGGCTCCTCCATGTTCAGTCTTGGCCAAGAGAGCAGCAAGCAGCAATCCCTGCGGCAGTGTTCCAGGTTTGCTGAGGCCACGGGCGGCCACCACGCGCTGACAATGGCCGAATACATGCTGCACTGTGCCACAAAGCAAAGGCCGCCTGACTGCGGATATTTAATTCCGCGCAGCTTCAACCTCGTAGAGGTTTACAAGCCTGGTCATCATATAGTTCTTGGAGATCACTATGATCAGGATTTACATGTAAGGCGGAGTCATGTTGCTGTCGAGGTACATCGTCAACTATAGCCACCTCAAGTGCGCGAAAGGGCGCCGATCTTTACGGCCGCTCGTCGTGTCATAGAGGTAGCGGTGCAATGGTGACAAGCTCGAGTTGGCTCGGCAGGTAAATTGTAATTGTACGCGAAAGTCCGACCGATGTTCTGCAGTGCTGCAGTTCCCTTTAGCCAGGCTCGGAAAGCGCCGCGAGATGCCCGGAAGTCCTCAACGGCTAGATGACGAAGGCAGTCGTCGCTCAGCTGATGAACTCCAGTCGCAAGAAGAGTCGCCGTAATCCCGAGGTGGTCGTCGTCGGTGTTCCTTGTGACTTCGAAGCTCGAGAGCCCCCCAAGCCGAGGTTTTGAGCACGTCGAGCAAGGCACTGCATCTCGGCTGAGAGCTGGGGGCATGTTATGCCTGGCGTGACCCACTTTGGCCTTAGGTGGTGGAGGGCTTCGACCTGGGGGACGCATGGCTTCAACTCTCCGAGGGCGGCTGGCTGCCACCCGGCTTCACCGAAAGTTGCCGTGACCTCCCGCCGGCAGGAATTGAGGCGAGCTGCTGGCAGGGAGGACCATAGGGAGATGCCCAGACTCAGGCCCACGCACATCCAACTCCAGAGCTCCAGAAGCCTTCCAGCCTCCTGGCACTAAGCTTTTGCAGTCTTTCCGCAGGCTACTTCGTAGTTCGGGTCTCACTACGTGCTACGTGGTTTCAGGTTCTCTCAGCATGGAGTGGCCCGCCCATCAACGTTGGAGATGTCGTGAGGATCCCCGGCTGGCGGAATCATTTCCCTCTTCAGCCAGTTGCAATTAATTCTTACTGTTTTGCCTCAGATGAATCGTCAGGAGTATCCAGGAAATCTCATGTCCTAAGGACTGTCAAGGACCTGGTGCTGCCGGCCAATCGTGTGACCTGCCAAAAAATGAGTGGATGGAGCACACGGTAACCCCTGCACGGGCCCCTGCAAGGGTGTTGACACGGCAGGTGCTGAAGCTTGACTCTGTCGGCATCGTCCGGCGCATCAACTCGAACGCAGTGCACCTGAAACTTGAGGCAGCCAAAGGAGGCCGGGGGTACAGAAGTCGAAAGTCGCCAAAATCGGTGCAACCGATTTGGACACTTCCTCTCCTGGTCCACCTGTGGAGAGGTGGCTGCACACTCTCGGTGACTGACACAGTCTTTGCCGAGCACATGCAATTAACCGGCTACCGCTGCATCATGGAGGCCAGCAGATGCAAGTGTCGAAACGCTCCGAGCTGTGCTGCATGCTAGATTGCCAGGAGCCCTTCTTAAAGGGCCCGCCAGAGGGCTTCTTGGCAGCTTGGCTGCACGGGGCACTTTCGTCAATCTTGATTTCCATGCCATATTCAGAGGTCACTCACAGAAAGCACGGCTGTGGAGTCGTGCAGCACATTGAGAAGACCTCCAATGGGACGACCCGGGGTTTTTCGGTGATCTTCGGCGACGAGACAAGGAGCCAGCCGCTGGCCCAGCTCTTTTGCTGTTCTGCCCTTCGCTACAGCCTTTGCCATGTCTTTGCCCGTGCGAGGTCAATAGGCTTTATGAGCCTTTATGCCAGAGAGCTTGTCCTGTTGCATGTGTCGAGGCTGCCTGCTGACCGACGCGGCATTCGCTTGATTAGCATACCTCCAACGCCGCAGGCCGTGAGCACCGAGCATCCTATGATGGGCGAAGATTGCTACCGATAGATACTTTGCAATGAAGTAGACAGATGAAGAAGCGGAATAAAGGTTCATACATGCACGTAAATGTACATATATATATGCATATATATATATACATATATTTAATATGCACATACAATACATATATGAGTTTATGAGTGTGTACAACCAGTATACACACAGATATAGTTAATATGTCTATATCCATGTGTATGTCCATGTCTATGTATGTAATGTAATGTAATTTAATGTGATGTAATGTAGTGTAATGTAATGTAAAGCAATGCAATGCAATGGAATGTAATGTAATGCAAGGAAATGTAATGTAATGTCATGTAATGTCTCGTAATGACATGTAATGCAATGCAATGCAATGCAATGCAATGCAATGCAATGCAATGTAATGCAATGCAATGCAATGCAATGCAATGCAGTGCAATGCAATGCAATGCAATGTAATGTAATGTAATGTAATGTAATGTAATGTAATGTAATGTAATGTCTGTAGTTAATGTATGCAGGCATGTATGCATGTATGCATGTATGCATGTATGTATGTATGTATGCATGGATGTATGTATGTATGTATGTATGTATGTTCAAAAGTATATGCATGTATATATGTCTAATATGTATATATATATATA